CCTAATAAATTGGCTTGAAAATCATAAGGGAAATTATTTTCTTACCTTTAGGAAGCTCACGGCAGAGGAGGAGATGATGAAGAGAATTCTTGAAATTTCATTACAAAATATCTAAGCTTATTTGTCATCTTTTAATAATAAAATAAATTAAAATTTCATTTAATGCTAAATGACTATTCTGCACTTGAAATCTAAAGCTCCATAACTTAACACATGTCAATTTTTCATCAAATGGTCAAAATTAAACCAATAAGTTAGTAGTTACCAACTTTGCCCTTAGAAATTTTTAAAATTACAATCTTACCATTTTTCATCCAATAGTCCAAATTTAACATGGAAAATCAACTTATATCCAATGGCCCATATTAAATCCTTCCAAATTAAGACATAGAAATGACATTATTAACCTTGTCTTATCATCCTTCAAAATATCTAAAATATTTGATTTGATTTGATTATTCAGATTTTCCCTAAACTTTATTACTTTATAGTTTTTAATACAAAATATGTACGAAAAATCTGAAACCCATGAAAACATCATTCTTGGGATAAACTATTCATTTACAGGACCAGATTACATAACTTCTTAAAATTACATTTTGGTCTCTAAGCTTGATCTAAATTTATACTTTGGCCACTAAACTTTCAAAATTTTCATTTTGGTCACTTATCGAAAATTCCACGACCCCCACTAATCTTAAGGATATTCCACCTCTGCTTACGTCCATTCTTGGTGATGAGTCTGATAACTCTAGTTCTTCTTGTGCAATATGTTAATGTAAGGTATCCGAAGTTAGTGATAAATTTCATTACTTTTTGTATCATTCTATTGCCTTTTGAGTACTTTACGACTACAACACGAAATATGTTACCAAAAATCTTCATTTTTTTAAAACATCTCAATTTTATTTTTTATTTTCTTAGATATATGGGTAGAACTGAACAAAATTCAAATCGACTTGAAAAATCGATTTTTTCGACTTGGTTCAACTTGAATTGACTTCAAGTTATAATTTCATAAACTTGACTTAAATCGGAAAAAATTTAAGTTCAAATCAAGTTGTAAAATACAACTCGAATAACTCCAAATTTTTAGTAACTAGTGGATTGATTTTCAAGTTTGAGTTGAGTCCCTTGACTCTGTATGATATATGTATATCACATATGAAAAAAATATGAAGAAATATATAGGTATTGTGTATGGTTATAAAAAAACTATTGAAATTGAAATCAAATAATATTATAAATATTTACAATTAAATTTAAATAGAAACACGGAAATTGGACTCAACTCGACTCGAAAAAATTCAAATCAAATTCAAATTATAAAATAAGACTCGTTAATTTGAATAACGCAAAATTGTTTTACTCAACTCGAACGAACGCTCACGTATATATATATATATATGGGTATTGGAGGTGGAAAAAGGGATGAGGTATCACTCATATTAACGTTTGGGAAAAACAGTTTTGTCACACATTTGTGGATATGCTACATTCATGCCTAATCAGTGTAGATTGGGAGGAAAGAACCTGAAGAGATCTTTTCTTTTTTGAATTACCTGAAGAGATCTTTGGTCTTTCATGTAAGGGTATTAATTGTTTAGTTTTAATCAAATTAATCGATGGAATTAAAATTTAGTTTCGTTGAGTAGTCGGTTAATTTGATATTAATTCAATTAACAATTAAAAAAATTTAAAATTTAGTTATCGATTAATTCAGATCAAAATCTGTTAATAAAAAATATTTGATATTTAATATTTTATATATATTACATATATATTTTAAGTTCAAACCCTTTAAATTAAAATCAAAGTTTTTAATCACAGTAGACCTATTAAACTTACAATACTCAATCGAATTTTAATCTAAATGAAAAAAAATACCTTTAATAAATTCATATTAATTTAACTAAAATAATTACAAAAGATTTTGTTAATTTAGTTAATCGATCAAATTAATCCAACTTTGTTCAATCCAGTTAAAATTTTAAAAAATTTTGGTTCAATTAAAAATTAATGTAAAAAATTAATTAATGAATATTAGATAATTTGGTTCGATCGATTAATCGAACCAACTTATTGAAAACCGGAATAAAAATAACGTTTGTTTCACTCTTCAATCCCTTGCCTTGCATGTTTAGATCTTTCATTAATTGATTTTAATATTTTGATTTAATTATATTTTAAGTCCACGTTAATTCTAAAAAAGAATAGACAAATCCCTCTAAAAAATTTAATATCTTCATTTGTTTTTAAATTAATAAATGATATCCAATCTATTGATAAATTAATTTAGATTGGATACTGCAGAGGTGAGGGCGACCCTCCCAACCCAGTTTACTCCATTTGCAAACGTCAAAGTTCGAACTCTTGACATTGCTTAAAGAATCTAGTGTCTCATCACACTAGACCAACTGATTGTTGGTAAAAATAATATCTTCATTTTGAAAGTAAATAAAATAGAATATATGTAATGTTACTTATGCAAATATTAGAATAATTTACTTAATATTACTTATATCAATATTATTATTAAAATATTATTTCTATAATTTTATAAATAAAAATATTAAGACTAGTATATTCTATTAAAATAAATATATTATAAATTATATTAAATATCTATTAAAATAAAAATACTATATTATATTTTTAAAATTATTAATAAATATATTTTAAGGATTTTTATTAAAATATTATTAGACTATTCTATTAATATTAAATACATAAATAATACTATTCACTATTAATAATTCAATAATATTGTTTTTAAGAAATTAATAAATAATATAACTTTTATTAATAATTTATTATATATTATTAAAATAAGAATATAATAGTATCATATATATTATTATAATATAATTGAGTATATTATTATATTATATTATTAATAAATATTAATAAATATTAATAAAATATATTTCAAATATGTTAATAATTAATATTTTTATTAAAATGATACTAAAATATCATATTAATATTAAATACATAAAATAATATTATTTTGCGTATTTATGCTTTGAAGTGAAAAGTTTGAAAAATAACTTACGGTAAATCAAACTGTAAGTCATTTTTCAGAAAATGTAAAGGAAATTCTGTTGACCAAAAAAATGTTTTACATTGATCAATATGTTTTCCTCCAACCAAACACTGGAAAATGAGGAAAGCGTTTTCTGGAAAAAAAATTATGTGGAACAAATGGACTCTTAATACATTAAGTTTTTTTGTCATTGAACTTTACTCTCTCTCATATTTTGGTCACTCCAATGTTAAATAGTTAACGATATTAAAAATGACGGTATTTTAAAAAGCCAAAATTTTTACCCAAACAACGTTGTTTTGCATCTATGTAACAATCCATTTTAACGTCGTTAATTATTTAATGGCTGAGTGACAAAAAAACCTAATATATTAAGTTCAGTGAAGAAATTGAAAAGATTTAAAGTACAATTAGTGAAATATGAGAGATGGTAAAATTTAATTGTCAAATTTGTAATTTACCCTAATAAAAATAATTTTTAAAATTTTAAATTATACATTCAAACCCTAAATTCTCAATTTACAAACTCTAAATCCCAAATTACAATCCCACCCCACCGGCTCAACGGCGAATGGTGGGAGACATCGTCGCCTTCCTTTTTAACTCATGTCTCTGTCGTTTTTCTACAAACCCAACCTACCTTTTGTATTTCTCTAGTCTCTAGCTCGTGATACATTGTATTATTGATAACTTCCTTGTTTATGGAAAACGGCCACCATTTTTTATCTTAAAGGCAAACCCTATCACCCAACAATATTGAATAAAAAGGGGGAAATATCTATCTTTTACGGGGAATTAAGGCAGTACATCACCATCGTTAGTGGACTAATTCCTTTCACCTACTGCAGCATCTCAATTGAATAAGTGGACTAATTGTTTTGATGATTTTAACTGTACATTTATGAAAGTTCAGGTGAGGTCACCGATAAACTACCATCTATCGGTGGGAGGGTGAGGCTGTTAAGGATGAGGGTGAGATAGTTTATAATTTGAAGTTTAGGGGTTGAGGTATAATTTGGGGATTTAGGGTTTGAGAGTATAATTTATAATTTTTAAATTTTATTTATTTTATTAGAATCTTATATGGTATTAAAATATTAATAAAATATAACATGTCAAATAAAAATAAAAATAAAATAATAGAGTGACTAAAAAATCAATGTATAAAATTCAGTTATTAAATTAAAAAAATTAAAGTACAGCGAATAAAATAGAAGACAGAGTAAAGTTCAATTATTAAATTTGTAATGTATCACATTTGTAATGGACATTTATTATTTATTTGGAAATTGATTATTTTTTAAATTTTTGTGATTTTTAATTGTATTTTTGTGAGTTTATTACTTTTATTTTTAATAACCCCTTATTCTTCGAAATTTAAAAAAATATATATACTTTTTTATATTTTTGAAACTTTTACTAACAAAAAAAAAGTTGCATAGATCCTTTTTGTTTGCTCAATTTCAAAATATATAAGAGTTAGACTTTTTTTCAGAGGAATCAATTTGCTCACATAAATAATATTAAAATTAGTTTAAAGTTTTAGAGGACTAAAATATCCCTTTATACAACAAAGACACCAAAATGAACTTTTGTTATGAATATAAGAGTAAACTATAACAATGGTCATTAATGTTTGAGTAAGATTTTGTTTTCTCTATTGAAGTTTCAAAAGTAACAAATTAGTCATTAATGTTATCGATTTATAATATAATGGTCACTCCATCGTCATCCCATTAAATTGATGACGTGACAATGTTAACAAAAATGTTAATATTTATTTTTACTTCTAAATTACTGCTAAAACATAAAATAGGTCCTTAAACGATTATTTTATATCTAATTTACCCCAATAACTTTCTATTTTCTTTTTTTTCCCAAACACTCCACCACCTCCACTATATAACTAGGCATCGTTGAATCTTGCTGAATATGCATCCGCTACGTAAAGAGTTTGAGCTAAAAATACCTCACATTCTCCACTGGTGTTGCCGAGCCATACCTTCTGCAGACTTCAAAGCACAGCATTCTGCCTTGGAGAAAAAGGAAGCTGAGTTTCAGGTCTCCCAAAGCGAAAGAGGAGCAACTGTTAAAGAAAGCCTATGGTGAGGAAGGTGGAGATGACATTGATTTTGATTGCCATCAGCTTAGTTCTGATGAATCACTCGGGGTAAGAATAATTTCTTCATTTAACCTGTCTGATCATCGAAACATTTTTTATTGTTATCCTGACTGTTGTCAAGTTATCACATGATTTTCTTACGAATTCATACATCTCAAAGATGCAATAATCTCTGTATCAAACTGAGGATGGGATATCATCCATTAACATAACAGCTTAAAATCTTTATAATCTATTCTAGTTTGGATGGTTCCGTTTCTTCTTTGACTTGAACTTTTTGAAGGCCTTAGATGGGTTATATGTTAAGAAATAATGTAGTGTTATCAACACCAATTATTTGCTTCTGAACAACTTTTACCAGAGTAATGTGCACTAGGATCTAAATATAAGTTCATTTTGTTTTTTACAGTGACACAAAACCGATGAAGATTCTTCTGCAAATCGTTCTTCAATTTCTGAATTTGGGGACGACAATTTCTCCATTGGCAGCTTGGAACACAAAGAAGTGGTCAGCAGTGATGGACGCTTGAAGCTTCAATCCCATGTATTTTTTGCTTCTATTGATCAGCCGAGTGAGCGAGCAGCTGGCGAAAGTGACTGTACAACCCTTGTTGCTGTTATTGCTGATTGGTTTCAGAAAAACCATGATTTGATGCCCATTAAATCCCAATTTGATAGTTTGATCAGAGAAGGTTCGTTGGAATGGAGAAACCTAGGTGATAATGAAATCTACATAGAGCAGTCCCCTGACAAGCACTTAGATCTTGATTTGTGCCAAGAAAATCCTTTATCAGGTTTTTCCATCCGGAAGGAATGGACGAAGGAAGATGGTTTGAAAATAGTGGAGGTGGTGGGTTGTTTGGAAAAAATGAAAATTAGAAAGTTTTTGTGTAAATTAGATATAAAATAATTGTTCAATGACCTATTTAATGTTTGAGCAGTAGTTTGAGGGTAAAACTAAATATTAACCCTTTTATTAACGGCGACACATCATTAATTTGACGGGACGACAGTGGAGTGATCATTTTGTTATAAATCGATAATGTTAGTGACCAATTTCTTACTTTTGAAACTTCAATGGGGAAAACAAAAATTTACTCAAACATTAGCGACCATTGGTGTAATTTACCCTAAATATAAAGACTTCTTGTAGAGTTTAACCTAGAAAATGACATATTTCCTTATTCATCTATAGCAATTAGCAAATTTGAAATGGAATTTTCCCCTTTTAATTCATACAAGCTCCTTTATTCCTCTATTTTTGTTTCACGTCTATGTGACAACAACTAACCACAATTGCCTAAACGGAACAAAAGCAACATATCATAGATCAAGGTTTACTGTTCTTAATAAAAACACTTCGAGTGACCTTAGTGATTAAATGGAGTGTTATTATTCCTTGAAGTCTTAGGTTCGAACAAATGCATCTGCAAAGTGTGTGTACATTATTAATTGTTAAGAAAGATTATGAACGGAACCCAAACTATTAAAAAACAATTTAAAAGGGTAATCTAAATCTCAACTTCCATCACAAGACCATAAATAATATGATCAAAAGCAGTTCACAAAGCAAAGCTTAACCTTGTCTAAAACCTCAAAATGATGCAATGTCATGCAACATTGATAATCAATATCGTGCATGAACAAAATTCAAGGAATGCCACTTTAAGACAATTCTAACAGGTAAGACAGTTTATTAAAGGCAAGAAGACAACAGCTAAAAGTACACGTGGATATACCCTGATATCACGATGAATTCTCAGACCGCATATGCAGGGGTTTAACTGGCTGCGGTATTGCAAGTGTTGATGCCGTCTTTGCAGTCGTTGGTCAATTCATTAAAAGTCTCAATCTGCTTCTTCCCTCTCAAGAAAACTTCTGTATCAACGGAGACCCTCATGTAACCATCGAATTCAACTGGCACTCCTTTGTTAAGCTTTGTTGTTTCTGAATACCACTCGCTGTGCTCATCCCAAAGATCCTTATATTCGTCAAGGAAGTGAGTCGAATATTTGTCTTTCAATGGATCAAAGGAGGATGTATCGGGTTCATTTGTTGCAATATAAACATTCCTCCCATCTTCAATTTTATTCTGCAAGGTTGAGCTAAGGGCATCAGGTGAGGTATCTTGTGCAAGATTAGGCCACAGGTCCCTGTTCCTGGCCTTCTCCCCTCTCACAATGTGGACAGAGTCGTAATCCCAGTTCAACCTTGATGCAATTGCCGACACTATATCCATCAACCTCCTCGATTTCCATACCAGATGCCATGGCCGTTGAATAACAGTTTCAGTCTCTCCTTCACAAACCCTGTACCAGTAATTATCGGGCTCCACGGATCCAAACTTTCTCATAATCAAAGAATCCTTCACCTCGGAAAGCTTCATTGGCGTCACCCTAAAATCCTCAACAAGATGAAGACTCAAGCCATCCTTTTTATGCCATTTACTCCAATCTTGCCAAAACTGCACGTGATCCAACACAGATGCTGCCTCTTTCAGATGCTCAAAATCGAAGTAAAAACGAAAATCCTTCCCTTCCTCATCCTGATTCGATGATGTATAAATCGAAGATAAACAAAGTGTCAAATCCATAACCAGAGTTCTATTCAAATATTGTGCTTCACCTAATGCACACAAGAAACTCCACAGATAATGGTTCATGCTCTTGCACCTATCACCACCACCCACATAAATCAAATACTTTCCACGACTAAATGCATTTTCGGACTCGACCACTGGAAGTGAATCATTCACTGTTTCCCCAACAACAGGCAAAGACACAACACCTTGCTCCTGTCTACTAGATGTCTTCTCGAATCCGGGCTTTTGATTCTTATTCTTCCTCTTCCTTGCATTCACACCTGAATGATAATCCCCGATGCTCACCACACTAAGTGTACAATTCTCAGATCTATTAATCACGAACCGCCTATAATCTTTATAAAAGGCAGCTGTCTTCCCTTCCTTAGGCCTAAACCGCCATGCCATATCACAAGTATTCTCCTCAGGCCCCGGAGCCGGCTTCCCGAACCGATAGAAGTGTATATCCTTAAAACTCTCAATTGCCTCTTTCATCATCAAATGGAACACTTCGGGGTCCCTACAATCAAGCGGTCCTTTCGAATCACCCTCGCATCCCGATGAACTAGTTTCATCGGTGCGTGCCTCCTTGATTTCTACTACATCAGTCACATTGATAAAAGTGGCAAATGCAGTCTGGTTGGCGGCCATAAAGTCCTCGCCGGTTCTAACTACGGTGTTATCCGATTGAAACGTGGCATTCGATGTGGAAGTAAGGAAAGTTGTGATCTTTGTAGAAGGATGGAAAAGTGGATCCTCTGGCTCATAAGTAGCAGCTATAATGGTGAAAACTAGGACGGCGATTACAAATATAGTGAAGCACAGATTGCCAATCATATGTAAAGCATTTTGTCCTAGATTCTCTGGCCTAAAGCTTCCAGTTCTAGATAACCCAGAACGACCCAACATCGTGCTAAACAATGAACTAAATCTACTTATTAAGAACAAAACCAAAGAACCCAGAAACAAGATCAAGGCTTTACAGATCGGGGTTCATAGATCTTGAAACTCAAAAAGCGGGAAGCAATTTAAGAACTTGACTTACCTTTCTGAAGATGAAACCACAAGCAAAGCTGCAAAAGAGAAAATTGCAGTCATAAAATTGGAAACCAATTTTCCTCTCTCAATCTCATGAAGTGAATGTGGCAACTGGCATAGAGTATGAGCTGGGGCTTAGTAAGATTTGCTCGGGTCAAATGAGTTTTATATTGGATAAATTTCTTATTTAGTCATTTATCTATTACATAATTTCTGTTTTGATCATTCAACCATCATAGTTTTCAAAATGATATCTAACATTACGTTTTAATTTTGTTTTGATCATGATGATGTTGACGTGAAATTTTTTATTATTTTTCCAATATTATGTGGAATTACATTATGGTGACATTTCATCATCATAATTAATTTTTTAATTGTGGCTAATTAAAATGTGACGTTAAGTATAATATTAAAAAAAACATAATAGTTGAATGATCAAATAAATAAATAAATAAATAATAGATGGGTGGCCAAATAGATAGTTTACCTTTTTATATTTCAGTAAACTGCGAGTGAATGTTGGGATCGCATTCTGGATTGTTACACGTGGATTATATGCTCACATGGACGGCTGAGATATGTGGGCAGGTGAAGTAATTTGACGGGTAACGCTTGAGACAAACTCACCGACAGCATGGAACATATAATTTGAATAATTTATTTTCAGTTTATAGGGAAATGTCTAAAAAAATAAGAGTCTAATTTAAGATTAAAGAAATAAGAAATTAAACGTCGAAAATGTTAAAAGGTTGAACGCAACTTAAAATGTTAATCTTTTAATATTTTCGTAACCTAAAATGTTAATCTTTTAATATTTACGTTGAATATTATGAAGAATATAATATTTTTTATTGCATCCGAAAATGTTAAAAGATTAAAATTTTAGGTTGCGCTCAACCGAAAATATTAAAAAAAATTAACATTTTCGGTTACGTCTTTCCTTAGACTTAAATTAAACTATCGTACAGTAGAACTACCCTAATTTATAGAATAAAATGATTGTTATAGAATTGGATATAATTAAATGTAATGAATTTTTGTGTGTGGATATCTATTATGATTAAAATATTATATATTATTATTAGGTTTATTTTATTATTAAGATTTTAATATATATTATATTTAAAGTTTCATATGCTATTTATTTTTCATGTTTATTAGTTTAGAGAAAGCATGGTATTTAATATAAAATTTATCTCTTTATTCTCATATTTCTCCTTCTTATTCTTCTTATTTTTTTAATATGTTATTTTATAACTTATTTGCATTAAAAATCATATTTTCAACTATATCAATACACCATAATTTCATATATACTATTTTATGATAAATTAATACATTATATATATTTTTCTAAACATCATTTATATATTTATCCTAATTTGATTACATGTTATAACAGATTTGAAGTTTACAATTAAACCATATTTTATGGTAAACTAGAAGTTTACAAATTTTAGAATATTTAAGTATGATTTATTTGAAAATATAAAATAATCTTTAAGCATGATTTGTTGTTTTTGTGAAATTTTTATATGATCGTAATTTGTTTTCGATTAACAATAAAGTATTGACTTTTGTTGTACGTTTAAGTTGTATGAATGAATATAAATTTTTATTTTTTTATAATGTTCTACATAAATCTCTAAAATTATATTTATATCAAATCACTTTAGTGATTAATATGACATCTGATTTTCTTAATTAAATATCGAGCGCTATAAAAAATACTATTGTACAAAATGTTGCCTCGTGACAGTTACGTTACCTAAAGGTTGAAGCATTCATGTTTATAAACAAAGATTGATGTGAAGGTTTTAAGTGTATTTAGTAATTAAAAGGAGTATTGTTTTATCTTAAAATTTTAATAAATATAAAATTTTATTCTTTAATAAATCCTCTTTTTCTGTTATAAAAATAATATATTTGTTATCTTGTATCATACAAGTTATGATCTTGCATGTTTGCAATCTTTCTATCATACGGACTTAAGTTTGGTATAGGGGTGAACCTATGTACTTAGAAATAATTATTTTTTGAAATATTAATTATTATGTTATTAGTTTTTACTATGAATGAAAATTGTTGATAGGTGAAGTGATCAACAACAGTGAAAGACGATGTCATAAGGTAGAAAAATATTTTCGGTGATGGTTTTGATAGTTTTAGAGAGGTTGGTTCTAGGTAGAATAAGAGGTCTATCTTTTATTCTTTATAGAGTAAGTATTTATAATGTCATGGATATGCACCAGTTAGGGTGTTTTTATCAAAATATCATTCTCAGACCCATTAATTACCTATAAGATATTTTCTCTCTTAATATTATCAATCTAGCATCCTTTTTGATCAAGTATATATCATCATTCGCGTTTTCGTGGGGTTCTGTCTGAAATGACACCACGTAAAGGAAGGCGCGGATCGTCATCTGCGCCTTTACTGAACCTCTGATATATACATAAAGCGTGGATCATGGAGCGTGTCTTCCATGAGAAATGTTGACATGACGCCACGTGAGAAGGTGTGTTTCAAGGGACATGCCTTTTAAAGTCTACATCATCCCTCAAAACATTTAAAAAAATATGCATTAAAAAATTAAAAAAAAATATATAGGGACTAACATCATAATTTAATACATATTAGTTTCATGAGTTGAAGAGTTTAATGGGGTTAACTTATATAGATATATTTGAATGTTTATGTTATGTTTCTTGACAATGTGTGATAAAAGCTAAAAGGTGTATTCCATAACTTTTTTTTATCTCTATATCTAATGAATCTACTTATACACTATTGTTAAATTTTTAATATTAAGGTTTCTTGACAATGTGTTATTAAGGTTTATATTAATTAAGATTATATATTTTTATATGTTAATACATTTAAATAATTACATTAGGTTAATATTTATTATTAAGGTTTATACTAAATTAAATTTTAAAGTTGGTATATATCAAAGGAGAAATGATATATTCATGTAAGATCGAATATAAGATTAATTATATTCGGGCGACTCAAACGCCTTAAAATACTATATGTTATTTTGTTTTAAATCTAGATTATGAGATAATGAGTAATTTATTATTAAGGTTTATACTAAATTAAATTTTGAAGTTGATATATATCAAAGGGGAAACGTATATTCATGTAAGATCGAATATAAGATTAATTATATTTGGGTGGCTCAAGCGCCTTAAAATACTGTATGTTCTTTTGTTTTAAATTTAGATTATGAGATAATGGGTAATTTTCATGTAATTTATTTAATTATATGTTTTTGTTTATTAATTTGAGATGGAATAAGCTACAAGATATTCTTCCTTCTAAAATGGCGAGCTTAAGAGTCTAACACATATGTAAGAAGCACCTGAAAGTATTTTTTCATGTTATGATAATCAAGATTGTTGCTTTCTACTAACCAAAAAATTGATTAGGTATATGAGTTTCAACAATTTTAAAGGGGAGATCCCGAAGGAGTTAATAATGGTGTATAAGTAAATTCATTAGATATAGAGATAAAAAAGTTAAGGAATACACCATTTAGCTTTTGTCTCACATTGTCAATAAACATAACATAAACACTCTAATATATCTATATAAGCTAACCCCATTAAACTCTTCAACTCATGGACTAAAATATATTACATTACGATGTTAGTTGTTATAGTTTTATTTTTTTAATTTTTTTAAAGCATATTTTTTTTAAAATGCTTTGAGGGATGGTGTGGACCTTGGAAGGCATGCCCCTTGAAACACACCATCTCACGTGGCGCTATGTCAACATTTCTCATGGAATGCGTGCTTCATGATCGGTGCCTTCCGTATATGTCAGAGGTTCAGTGAAGACGCATATGACGGTATGTGCTTTCCCTTACGTGGCGCCAGCTCGAACAGAATCCCGCAAAGGCGCGGATGGTGATTCGCGCTTTATTGTCATTTTGTGAGAAAGGGTGCTAGATCGATAATATTAGGAGGGAGATTATGCTTGACAGATAATTAATGGGTATGAGGGTGATATTTTAGTAAAACGCCGTTAATTAAGAGTTGTCATGTCTTTGATCATGAATAGACGTATCAAGGGTTGAGGTTAATTCAATTAATTGAACGAATCAAAATATCCAAAATCTATTAATTAATTTTTTTTTAATTTTTAATCGAACCAAAAATTTTTAACCAAAATGAACTAAGTTCGATTAATTTAATTAGCCAAAATTTATAAATAATATATAAATAGTATATATATTACATATTTAATAATTTTGATTAATTCGAAAACCGAAACTTAAACACCCCGAAAACTAAATAATATATATAATATATTGAATATTTAATAATTTAGGTTAATTTGGTTAATTAATCGATTTCAAACCAAATTAACCGATAATGAAGTTTGAAAAACCATTAACCGTTAACCAACCGAACCTAAAATTAATCGATTGATTAACCAATTTTTTTTATTCGATCAGGTAATTATTTTTAACCGAATTATAAACAACCCTACATGCAAGCTATCATCCTTAAACAAAACAAAAGAATGGTCTTGTAGTGGTGGAAACTGAGATGGTAAGCTAAATCTCTTGAACTGTTTGATGTAATAAGCTCCATGGAATTCCTTCCAATTCATTTTTGTTTCTACCCAAAGTCAAAATTTTTAGTTAGCATACACTTATTCTAACCAATTTATTTATACAACTAAAAATATCAAGTAGTTTAATTATTGGTCACCAAACATAAATTTAATTCACTTCTTTTTTTTTCATATCCAATTGTATATATATATATATATATATATATATTTCGGTAAAATTAAGATTTAGATTAGTAGAAAACATAATTCTAACGTCAACCCCAAACGACTTGCTTTAGCAATCCAAAAATCCTATTACCCCGTCTCCCTAAATTTTCCCACACTTTCTTTCTCCAGGAAAGAGAAAAAAAAGAAACATGAGGGCACAGCAGAGGCCGATCCACGCGGTGTCGATGTGGGTGAGACGACAGCCGCCGAAGGTGAAGGCTTTTTTGGCGGTAGTATCCGGGATGGCAGCGCTTGTTCTTCTTCGATTCATCGTTCACGACCATGATAACCTCTTCGTCGCTGCGGAGGCTGTTCACTCCATCGGAATCTCTGTCCTTATCTATAAGCTCACAAAGGAGAAGACTTGTGCTGGTAATTTCGAATAAAGCTTTAGTTTTTTTTTAATAACGTATTATAGATTTTGTTATTAGAATGGTTTTTTATTTTATTTTTTATTTGTAGCTTAAATTTAATACATGCGTGCTTTTGCCCTAATTTAGCAATTCTAAAAACTTATGAAGGGTAAAGATTAATTTGCAATTTCTAAAAGGTTTGGGTTTGGCAACTTTGTGCCGATCGAATGCTAGATTTTTGGTTTTTAGCTGAATCTGGTTGAATTTCTGATTTGAGTTCCCTTTTTCTTTTCGATTTAAGATATTTGTTTCTTTGTTTGGTGACTTTAATTGTAATCCCTGATGCATAAAGTTTACTGCTTTTTTCCTAATTATTTTCACCTATCATTATCAAATAGTGGAGGAGTTATACTGTTATTGGCGAAGTTGAGACTTCATGAGACATTCTGCACTTTTGACAGGCTTTGATGGAATTTTTATTTTATTGAGGTTTTTGAAATTGAATTCTCTGGTGCCTAGAATTAGAATGTAAGAGTTCTTTTTTTTTTGGAATATTATAATTCTAAGGTATCGAAATGTAGGGTTTCTTCTTGATGCAAAGTAAAGAACTTTTTGTTTGTCTCACTTGTTGAGTAGTTTCATGAATTTTATATGTTTGATATTGTTTTATCCTATGTTTGATATGTTTCACTGTTTTTATTTCTGTATTATGCTAATTCTTTTGAACGAGTAGCCTATGCTATTTTTAGGGTTTTGCCAAGAATGATTGATAAATAGATGCTGCTTTTGGTGCAACAGTATTCGTTGTCATTCTCACGCACCCGCATAATACTTGTTTGCTGTTAGCGTGCTGCATGCCTATTAATTTTTGGTCATCCGCTTATGCTATTTAAATCAATGAGTTAATTAATTCTAGGTTATTGGTTAAATATGCGAAGAAAGTTTTTGTTGGTGTAATATCGGTTTTACTCATTCAATAAAAATTTTGAATGGTTGCAGGACTATCACTCAAATCCCAAGAACTAACAGCTATCTTTTTAGCTGTTAGGCTGTATTGTAGCTTTGTCATGGAATATGATATACATACGGTACTTGATTTGGCCACATTGGCTACAACATTATGGGTTATTTATATGATCCGTTTCAGACTAAAGTCCAGCTACATGGAAGAGAAGGACAACTTTGCTTTATATTATGTTGTGAGTTTTCTCCAGTCATATGAACTTTGTTTTTACTTGCAATTATATGTAATTATATATGCAGCTTGTCCTATGTATTGTTGGATCTACAAGTGAATTGTACTGGTGTTGTCTCCTGTATTTCATGTTTTCGTAGTCAAGAGATGGTCATGTTTGCAGTAGAGCTTGTGCTTGTCCTCTTTATCAACGGAGGTATATGTACCTTGAAACAGCCTTGCTTACAAAGGCAGATTGCTTATTAGTTTCTCCATTACATGATGCTATTTTCCGCTAGCCTGCAGATCTGCAAATTAGAAAAATATAATTTTTCTTTCTTTACAAGCTGTTTCTTAAATAAGAAATCTACTTATTTTTTAGATGTTTTGTTCTCTCCCCCTCCCACACACATGTTGCTCTGTAAATCGTTGCTAGTATTCTAAGTGTCCATTGAGTTCTCATTTGTCTTCAATTTTTCTTATTTTTTTCAAATTCCACCAAAAAAGTCATCGCGTTCCGCATCCTTTGTGTTATTGATTTTATGGATACTATCATATAACTAATTGAAGAAAATTTTTGACATTTTTGTGTTGCTATGCATGGACAGATACTAACCGTGCAATTATTTTCTTTGTTGCTCAAGTGGATTCTTTTTCTGAACATGTTCTAGAAGTCATATCCTGACATTTGAATTCGAATGCAGCTTGTCCCATGTGCAGTACTGGCTCTATTTATTCACCCCTCAACATCTCATAATATAGTGAACCGGATTTCTTGGGCATTCTGTGTATATCTAGAAGCTGTTTCAGTTTTACCTCAGTTGCAAGTGATGCAAAATACTAAGGTATAAATTACTTATATTGGTAGATAAACATTTAGATTAGTTATTTATTTATAAGATTACCATCTGCAACTCAGTTTTTTTGTGCTTTCAGATTGTTGAGCCTTTCACAGCTCATTATGTATTTGCATTGGGTGTTGCAAGGTTCCTCAGCTGTGCTCACTGGGTTCTCCAGGTTTGATCTTGTCCCCTGAAGTTGAATGTGATTGGTTTCTGTTAATTTTGCCATTAAGAATCAGCAGTTTTGAAATCAAGGCTCAGTTGGAGCATTACATGGATACCAATCTGTTGATAAAATTTATCTGCCTTTTAATTTATCGTGGTTGTCAGAACCTGACCAGCCGGTTGAATTGGTGGGATAAAAGCGAAAATTGTGAAACCATTATGTGCCATTATAAAACTGGAAACTGGGGCAAAAAACTGACGGTTCAACCAATTGAACCTGTTTTTTTTTCAAATTTTTTAAAAAAAATCTGAGTCTTACAAGTTACAACATTGGTGTTTTAACCAGTTCAACCATCGGTCAGGGTCTTACAAATTTGTAAATAATAGACGAGTCTGCTGGATGTATGACCCTGAAGGTCGAACTGATTGCATATTGCTTAAGATGGCTCTTGTTCTAGATGTTCTTTCATGTCGTTTCAACTAGCTGCATATTGCTTAAGAAATTTTGTATGATTCTGGTTGGAGAAGTGTCATTGTGAATTTTTATAAGGGCAATCGCGTTAAGATATTAATTCATTCCTACTGCTTTCAACAGGTTTTAGACAGTCGAGGACATTTGCTGGTAGCCCTAGGTTATGGATTGTGGCCCTCCATGGTTCTTATATCGGAGATTGTTCAAACTTTCATTTTAGCAGACTTCTGTTACTATTATATCAAGAGGTTGGTTACATTAATGAGTGGTATACAAGTATAAATAAATACTATTGTCAACCTAAAGGTTATAAATGTTTACTCATCTAAACCCTTATGTTGTACAGTGTCTTTGGAGGGCAGCTTGTTCTCCGTCTTCCCTCCGGAGTAGTATAACTGAAGATGCTGCTTTGCTTTGGTCGATGAGCTTGTTGCCGAAAGAAAGTATTAACTTGGTTACAAATGCGACTAGGTATCCATATTTTAAGTTTCCTTACGACTGGAATTAGCGGATTGTTTGTAAATTTGTTTTTTGGGGGAAAGGGGGGGTTGCTAAAGCTTTGGGTGGATATTAATATTGAAAACATTTCATAGACGGAGTCCAATACTAATGTTTTGCTTGTATGAAGTGAATTATTATAGACTATTCCTAATGTCATGATGTGCTTTGGCTTGCAATTTTCGAGTAAAAGTGATAATCGAACAGAAGCTGGGTTTAGATGATTTATTGATAATCATGTATATTTTTGTACACTCCGACTCTCCCACCTGCTATTCCGGTTCAGTTCAGCAGTAGTTCGAGGTGGCCACCTTTCGGATCCACACTGGGCGCGTGGCTTTTGCACCAGCTGAGCATACTCACAGCTGCTAATCAAACCAACAATTTAAATGCTATGTTTGGCTATAGTTGTCGTTATTGATGCGTTAGCTTTCATACTTATTGTTGGAAGAATAAGTTCCTGTTCCATGTTTGCTTTGAATATGCGTATTAATCAAGGCGGTGTTTGTGTGATGGCGTTTCTAAGTTTCATAAAAGTACTTATAATGTAATATATGGAATTTCTAGGTAATTGTTCTAAAGGATAATTAGCTGAAATTTCAAGGTTTCGTCGTAACTATCTATAACTATCCGCGTTGCACACCTTGCTTTGGTGGGTGAGTCTTTCAGCGGGGATTTTTTACACACACAATATCTCAAACTTAAGACTTATGCGAAATCAAGTTACTTATCATTTGAACAAACTCGTTTATCACTTGAATCAATACGTTGGTGAATTGATTACTGTTTACTGATATAATTATTTGACAATTTCCAAGTTTAGATGAGATGCGTACAGTGTAAACCGAAAGGATAACCATTGAGCATAGTCTTCTAAGTTAACGACATTTCATTCTTCTAATCAACTTAGACTAAGCAACTAAAGCATCTTAGTTTATCTAAAATGGATATTCTTAAGGATGAAAGCTTTGCTGGTTCATCTGCTTTAACTTTCTGCTACTGAACAAGAGTTGCATTAAGCATATTATACAAGATATACTCTAATTATTACTTGTTTTGGTGCTTTCCTTTTGGTCTTTGCCCTAAACAAAGCCAGCTTTCGTCTTCTTGCAAAACGTTCTCTCTCCACAGGTTTTCTGTTGGCTCATTTCTTGTATTAGATGTTTATAAGCAATATATGACATTGACACTGACAATCGTTCGTCCTATTCTTTCTCCATATATATATATATATATATATATATATATATATAATGGACTAAAGATTAATGGTTCCTTCAAGTAGACAGCATTTTTTCATGTAAATATTCTCTAATGTTTTTCGAGTCATGGATTTGATTATCTCTCGTGAGTCTGATCTTAATCTTCCAACTAGAACTTCAGCGGAAAACCATGAGACAACGAACACGAAAGAAAGGGGATCTCTAAAAGCAATTTTTTTTTGCTTGCATTGGTGCTCATGAGTTTTCCTCACCAGAGGTAATTCATGTTCTTCATTCAATATCAAAAGAAAAGGGCTTTGATAGTCTAATGTTTACCTCATTCATTGTTTATTAGATGTGGAAAGCAGCTTTCACAGAGTTAGTGGCGACTACATGCTTATTATTCACATTAACCGCATCCATTGTCGCCTGCTTGGACTCGCACGAGGCTGATCCCAAGCTACTTGTCCCGTTCACGGTGTTCGTTATCGCCTTCCTCTTTCTCATGGTGACAGTCCCTCTTTCAGGTGGACACATGAGCCCAGTTTTCACTTTCATTGCTGCACTCAAGGGAATCATATCTCCAGCACGGGCTTTTACCTATATCTTGGCGCAGTGTGTAGGTTCAATCACAGGGTTTCTCCTACTCCTCAGTGTAATGAACCATGAGACAGCGAAAAAGTATTCCTTGGGAGGCTGCACCATCGATGGGGACGGATCAACATCCGGGATTAGCCCTGGAAGGGCATTGATATTGGAGTTCTGTTGTACTTTTGTGGTGCTTTTTGTTGGTGTAACAATAGCATTCGACAAGAGAAGAAGCAAAGAACTAGGGTTGTCTATGGTTTGTGGAGTTGTTGCAGGTGCCATGGCAGTGGCAGTTTTCGTATCGATTACCGTGACCGGGAAGGCAGGCTATGCGGGCGTGGGGCTTAATCCCGCTAGGTGCTTAGGACCATCGTTATTGCTAGGAGGTTCGTTATGGGATGGCCATTGGATCTTTTGGATTGGACCTTGTTTTGCTTGTGCAATTTATTATGGTTTCACCAAGGGATTACCAAAAGAAGGCCTGGTTAGTGAAGATGAAGAGCGTGACTTCATTAACTTGGTCGCACCTTCACTTTGTTGTTCGGGCCCTAGATGTAGAACTCAACCTCATGGGAAGATTTATGGAAATTGTGAGACTATGAATAACTAATGAAATATACTCTAAAATTCGGGTTTCAAAGTGAACACTTATTCATCCTAAACCAGACGTGGAACTGTCATTGTATGCAGTGTTGTTTTTTTCTTCTTTGAAGTATATTTTGTTAAAAAAAATGGAATGGAATTGGATGTTCTCTTTGTAAATGTATCGGTATGATCATCAATGACAATGACGGGGGTAGTTGCATGTTTGTAGTGAAGATCAATTAATGTTCCAAATAATGTCTCTACAGAGGGTCGTTTTCGCTAATAAAAGATGCTCTAGGTTTAGTAAATTGCATTGACAACTTTTGGGGCTATTTGCGTAGTGAAGGTCAATGTTCCAAATAATGGCTTTCCATATGTTTGTTAAGGGTAGTTTTAAGGTATATTATACTTTTTTTTTTGACATTCTCTATAAATTACAGTTTTGTTGCTAATTCTTTATCCATCAAAGTCTTTAGAGTTTCATTTTTTTCGATTAACTACAGTCTCTCGACATGACCATTGGCAGGTCTATATGATCCACCAAGACTAAATCTACTAATTGACAGTCATATTTACTTGCTCTATCATCCTACAAATAGTAATCATCACTACCTATACTAAAAGATCTATGTATAAATCCTAGAGAAAGGACCTGAGATTCTCTCTATCAGCTCCTCTCATTGTTTATTTTGTTCTTCATATCTACACTCTTATCTCTTTCACAAAATCAATGTCTACGAGTCTCCGTCTAAACCAAAAGAGGTGATCTGTCAAACACAATCACAATCCCATTTCTTCCCGTGATAAAATTGTGCTATTTCTTTGAAATTTTTCCTTGACATGATGAGAAGGGAGTAACGAGAGGAATGAAAAGTGTGGAGAAGATACTAGAGATGAATCGATCGTCTCTGATGATCGGACATCCACGCTCACTGCATCAATTGTTGATGGGAAAATATGGTTATTATGATTGTTGGAGGTTGAATTTTTCTGATTTGGACGGAGAACCGCAGATAATTGTTCTGGTTAGCTGAAAAAAGTGATATACGGTGGAAGATAGAGAAAGAGAGTTCATGATCTCTTCTCTAACCATGTATGCCTTAATGTTAGTGTTAGACTTAGAGTTATGATGGTTATCCGTAAGTTGATATGACTAATAAATATGACTGACAGATAACAAATTTAACTATAGTAAATCACATAGATATGTTAATGATCATATCAAGAGATTGTTGTCACCCGGAGAATATTGAACTTTGTAAGCTTCTTTAAGCTCCAGAGATCATGACAAGCGGAAGATCAACAACAAAGGTATGGTTTGCAGAGAAGCTGCAACAAACTCTTTTAGCTTTACTCGAAAATTTGAAATCTTTGCTTTGTTTTAATTGACAATATCAGATTGCTTAACTGGAATCATGAATTGAATGTTTACTTTTTGTTCGAAATTGATGTACAGTTTTCATTTAGCTGCTTCATTGAAATTTATGATTCAAGTGAATGAAAAAAAAAAAGGAGCCACGATGCAGTAAAGCTTGAAGGGTAGACGTACGAATTACATGAAATTAAGCGAATACAATTATTGAAAAAGGACAAGAATTATTGCTGGAGGACTTGAGCTCACTACCAGAACAGCTAAAGATTCCATGCTCCTAAATCTGAAACGTTTGCGGCTGATATTAATGGTAAACTTGATAGGTACTATTTTACTGTAAAATATGAAGAAAGATGATAGCATTTGCATTTTTTCCTCCAACTTTCACTAGAACAAGCTACCATTGCATGCATTCTTTGGACAGGGACTTGATGAGTTTAGGTTTGGAGAAAGGGCATCAACGAGTGCCAGTTCACTATAAGCACCCTACAAACATTATCGGATGCATTCTGATAATCATTTTCCACTTAGGCCACTCAATGAGTTCGAGGTACACAAAGTTGGATCCTAGAAACCTTGAACTGTTCAACAGCCTTCATAGTCTCAGCTTTGTTAAAGAGTATAAGTTAATAGAAAACAAAAAATGATAAAATACTTTGGTACAACTTTCTGTGAGAATGTAATATTGTTCTTTTATTTCCAGGCTTGATTATTTCTCGTGTCCTATATTTCTTAATATATGTTCAAAGAACAAAGGATGTAGAGCCACAAAGATGAAGCACACGAATTCATCAGTTTTAATTTAAACCAAATGCTCTTCAATTGATTCTCAATCTGCTCGTGTTTACGAGACAAACTGCGACTGCATGGCATTGCATTGTTGACTCCTAGCTTTTCATATTTCAAGGTTTATTCTTGGCAAGGTTTTTCAGCTTCTCGTTTGCAGCCACAAGTTCAGCAGCTATTCCTGGTTCATTGGCTGAATGTCCAGCATCTGAAACAACCTGTGACCACACCAATAAGGTATTTTTGTTCATTACCTTATCAAAGGTTGTAAAAAAGAATCTCCAAAGTTGGGTGATTGCATGCAAATGAAGACTTCAACAACAAACACTGAAAGCGTCAAGTATCAATGAGATTATATCCTTCAGCAAAAGGCTTTGATTTATTCCGGCAATCCAAACATGTAAAGCATCATCTTCAAGAGGACATTTTAGTTCTTACCTTAAAATCTGCCTCTGGAAATGCTTTGTGGAGATCCCAGGCTGACATCATGGGACAGCAAACATCATATCTTCCCTGTTAAAATGGTTTGAGGGGTATCATACAGGTTGGTCTTAATTCAAGTCAAATGTCGCACACTGGAAACATTTAAGGGTAAGATGGCATGTGGCCTCTTTTGGTACTACCATGAAGCAGTTGGAGTCCAATGCTTACAAGTATCAAACCGACAAAGTGAAGCAAATAGAATCTCAAGAAAAGTATTTAAGCAAACAGAGTTGAAAAACATCTTTTGAACAAGCAGAAGGGTCATCTTGTCTGTAATGCTTCGATAATAAATGTAACATACCTGTACAATTGTAGTGCTAATATGCCTTATTTTGTCAACATTGTCCAACAAGAACGAATCTGAAGGAAAGAATCCTTTATTCACAAAGTAATGGTTCTCAATCCTTGCAAAAGCCTAAACACAACAATGAAGAGACATGCATCAAATTTGCATTAAAACTTTACAATCTTGTTTAATGAAATTCTATAGTTTCCAGCTCTATGTCAAACTGTAGGTCTTCTAGGGTACATGACTTACCAGTGAAAATCGATCATCATCCCCTCTCTTAATGTTTTCTTCATTTGGTAGAAGATGGGCAGTCATCATTTCCCATTTGGTCCATGCCCTAGCAGCTGCATACTACGAAGTTAACCAGAGAGTTAAAAAAGAAAATAATTAATAATTTTTAACATAAAAAAAACACTGCACTAACAAGTAGCAGGTTTAATAAATAAGGGTACATGAAGGAAAGCAATGTATCCAAAACGAGATGACTCCTCTTACTTGTATTTCCAAATCATCAGAATTCAGTCGCTTGTGGTAAGCATTGACAAAACTCTCCCTCTCATTTTCTGGAATATGATCCCTAAATGGTTCCCAAGCTGCATAGTTTGAATAAATGACTAACTATTCAGTGATTAATTTTGCATATTTACTCAGTATCCAAAAGAGAAATATAAAAGAAAATAGTTTCAAAACAATGCACATCAAAAATGAGTTTGATCAGTAATCAGTTAAAAAATGAGTTTGATTCATTAAAATGTTCCAAGCTAAACAGCTTTCCATGAATCGCGAAATTAAAATATCATGGAAATATTAACAACTTACAACATTAGAACGACCATCCTTAACAAATAGACCAGCAAAGAATACATATGGAACATACCATCGGGGTAAATAGCAGCAGCACCACCTTCGTAGAACCAATCAATCTCCTTCTTCCGCAAAAGGAATATCCCTCTTAGGACCAGCCCAGTAACCTTAAAAAAACGAGGGAGACAATCAATTCAAGCAAGGAAGGAATTAATGGAACTGCAGGTGACCTGATTGTATGTATCAAGAGTTTCAAGCAACAAAATTTTGCACCTTCTCAGGATGTGATTCACTGTAAGCAAGAGCAAGTGTGCTTCCCCATGAGCCACCAAAGACCTGAATAAGCATAAAGCAATAAAAACAGTACACTTAACTGGTCTACAACTGCCAACAGGGATGGAAAATCTGTTTTCGCCCCGTAGAATTTTATAAGTTCACCCCATCCTAAAATTTTAGAAGTCTACCCCCTTGCACAAAATCATGTGTCCCCCCTGACTGCTAACCAAACCCGACATTGGTTAAGCAATCAAAAACCAGTATATCAGTACCTGCCATTCTGGAATTTGCAAGTGTTCTCTCAGCTTTTCAATGTCATCAATTAGATCCCATGTAGTATTCACTTCCAAGCAAGCATGGGGAGTACTCTTTCCTGCACCACGCTGCAGCAGAACATATATATATCTTATAATTAGAGAATTAGAGGTTAAAATAAGAATTTTTTTATGAGTTCAACATGAAGGAACAAAAACCACCTGATCAAATAAAACGATCCTATAAAATTCAGGATCAAAGAACCTTCGGTTACTTGGGGATGTTCCTCCACCAGGTCCACCATGAAGAAACACAACTGGCTGCAAAACATGAAAAGAATGGTACAAAAACAATGGTAAAAAAAATATCCCATTAGATTCCTAATTGATGGATACAATCATGGATACTCACATAACCATCTGGGTTTCCTGATTGCTCCCAGTATATTGTGTGAACATCAGAAACCTTGAGAAAACCTGTGCTATAAGGCTCTATAACTGCATAAAGATTCCTGTTAAGTTCTTCGATTTCCCTCCCTGACTCCATTTTATCACTTAACTGCGTCTCAGTCTTATATCCGACCCTTTGCACAAACAAAGATAGTTTCTTTTTCCCTGCAGAGAGTGAACGCAAACGAATTTCAACAAACCCATATCCAGAAATGATTAAAAAAAATCAGAACTCGCATATTTTCAGTAGAAAAATAGATAAAGAGCAACAAGGAAGGAACCTGGGAAAGTGAAGTTTTTGGAAACTGAAGGGAAGGATGGAGAGAAGTAGGGAACGGAAGAGGGAAAAGTGGGCAGTGAAGAGAGAGTGAACAAAGTGTTTGATTTTGAGGCAAATTTAAACCCTAATCTCATTCTTACTTTTCGGATGGTAGTCACATGAGGATGCTTGGGTTTGGTAAAAATAAGAAGAAGAAAGAAGACGCCAACTGATGAGCCTTGGAATTAGATTCCTAGGCTGGTTTGGAATATTAGGTGATTGTCTTATTTGATTTCTTATGAATATGTAGTATATTTTAAAATTAATTATTTATGTACAGATAAAATGATATCAATAATTAAAATGATTGTTATTTTTATGAACATAACGCTTAAACATATAACATCATCTTATTAGTTGAATAAAATGAATTAAATAATGATATAAATATTGATTTAAAAATTAAAAAAATAATTAAAATATATCAGTCTAATAAACGAAAGAAGTCATTATCAAATAGCTCGTCTTACTGAAGTAGTAAAGATGCGCTTCACCCAATGATTAAGAAAAAAAAATGAATTTGCGCTTAAATTGAAGTGACAAGGTCGCAACGGGAGAAGTAGAACTTCTGTTGAAACACTTTTCTGCCCTCAAAAGGCCATCACTTTTCAATATTAGTTATTATATTACGCTATCATTTTCTCAATATCATTAAATAGCGTGGCCTGGAAATAAGGCAACTCAAGTGGAAGACTCGTGTTGTGGGTGATCTTATTGCACGATTTAGAGAGCACTTGTATATGTGATACATGTGAACGTGTACGAAAAAGTTATCGTAAAATTTCGTTGTTCGTTTTGTCTTTGACCTTATCTATGTTTCTATGATGGCCTATAGAGTATGGACGCGCTCATTCTTCACTCTTAGAGAGACTTTTAAATGTTCTGTTAAATTTTTAATAACGAGTATTAAAATAAAATAAAAAATAAATATTAAATATGATTTTAAAAATCAATGAAAGTTTAAGTGTTAAAACGAAATAAAAGTGATAGTTTAAATATTAAATGTGTAATTTACCCTGTAAAATAAGTTGGATATGTCTAACTACTTTAAAAATTACCTAACAGAAGTAAGTGCTTAGCCAATTGGGACGATAAGCAAAGCACACAAACCACCGCCAACAAAAACATTTAAAGCTGCGGCCTTCCTTTTCCGACGACAATGAAGGAAGAAATTCCTAAACCCTAAAATCAACAACAACATCAACAAAAAACCCAGAATCCCTCCGCATGAAATGGAATGGTGCTTGAAGATTGTTAGATATATTTTCAGTGATGGGTGGAAATGCAAAGATCAACTGCAGAATCATGTCATACCTGAGTTGCAGGACGGTGAAGAACAAAACGATAATTGTTGGTCTAAAATCTGATAACTGCAGCAGAGAAATGCTGCTCCAGTTACTCAGCCTGCTCGTCAAGTCTGGGGACAATGTGTTAGCCGTTCATGTCCAGGAAATGAATGATGCTTTTGATCCCAACACTTTTCACATCCATGAAGATATCTGCAAATCCAAACAGGTATGAATCAAGAGAAAGGGATTAAAAAACTGGGATTGATTTATCTGTTTGATGATTTACTTATTCGGTATGTTTTTCGCAATTCAGGTCGATTTTCTTGTTAAAATTTGTACTGGGAACTCGTATATCTCAGTCTTATCTCATCAAGTTCGGGAAAATTATGCTGCAATCCTAGCAATTGGATGCAACATTTCAGGGTAATGAAGCTAATAAATATGGTTACTGTTTAAGGTTTATGAATTTGTATGTTTGATATTTCGATTATTGTGTTTTCTGTAGGCCGAATGATTCGGCTATAAGCTTTTGTCTGAAAAGTTTGCCACCCACGTGCACCCTTCTGGTGATGGATGATGCTGGAAGAATCCTAATCCAAAGGCAGGGAACATCCCAGCAAGGTTATGCAGGTGTACCTTTCCAATCTTGTTTACCATCTTCCCAAATAAACTCTGTAGTTGATCAACCGACAAGCTCTCGTCTGCTAAAAAAGTCATTGACAACACCGTCGTCATCATCGACGTCACCATCAATGTGTCAAGTTGACAGTGAAGGACATTACGTTCTCAAGAAGGCGTTTCCTGAACATCAGTTTAAGAAGTCATTCACTATGCCATCTTCTTCTGCATCATCATCACCGACATGGCAAACTGGTGGTGGAGGCCAGCAGAACCCGAAGAAGAATGTGACTTCAACGAGGAGGTTTCACGAGATGGCATTCCAAGAAACGGTGCAATCCTGCAGGCGGTTTAGACCGGAAGAGCTCAGCATTGCCACCGATAATTTCAGTCTCAGTATGGTGATTGGAAAGGGAGGAAACGCTATGGTATATCGAGCTAACCTCGAGGATGGTCAAGCTGCAGCTGTGAAAGTCCTCAAAACCATGAGTTGGTCCGCAAAGGATCTTCTTCGAGAAGTGGAGACACTCTCCAGCATAGAGCATGAGAACATAGTTGACATGATTGGGTACTGTGATAGCAAAGAACTGCATGCAATAGTTTATAACCTTCTAAATGGAAGCTTGAAACAATGTTTAAAACAACTCAAGTGGGCTGAGAGGATGACTATCGCAATCGGTTTAGCCAGGGCCCTGGAGTGTCTTCACCATTGTTGTGACCCTCCCATCATTCACAGAAATGTGAAACCATGTAAAATACTTCTCTCTGATAATTGCCAACCACAAGTAAGTTTTACACCAATGCATGTTCAAATGTCTTTGATGCTTATTAGTTCAGCTTAGGCTCTTAACGTCACCAACATTGAATTCTGGATCTGCTTAACGTTCTGTGCTGTTTAATTATGCCGGATTTTCTTTCGCAGCTCTCGGGTTTCAGAGCAGCAGTAGTGCATAATCAATCTTATCAAGTCCAAGCAAACACGAAGCGAGTCGACATTGTTAGGACATTCGGATACTTGGCACCAGAGTACATGGTGTGTGGAAAGATTGATGAAAAGATAGATGTTTATTCCTATGGGGTTGTGCTACTGGAACTTATTACAGGGAAAGAAGCTATTCAAAGCAACCAGAAAAACCTTGAAAGCTTAGTGCTTTGGGTAATTATATCGACATGTTAAACCCAAAATCAAGTTTTTATGTCTCAAAGCTTTAAGTTTTTTCGGTCCAACTATCTTGCAGGCAAGATCTTTATTCGGTTTCGGCCTATTCGAGCGTTTAGTTGATCCTTGCTTGGACCAAAATTACAAGAAAGAAGAGATGGAAGTAATGATGTTTATAGCACGCCTCTGCCTTATGCATTCATCTTCTCAAAGGCCAACAATGAAAACCGTAAATTTCCTTCTTTCGTTGTTTAAATAACTCGTTTTTCGATCACTTCTACAGCACATGTATTGTGTTTAAGTTCTTCCATGATCGATTAATGAGGATCATGTTGGTTGGTTTCTTTGGACAGATACTAAGGTTGTTTGAGGACTCAGAGTACTGGTTAGAGATGCAAAGGGAGAAAGATCAACTTCTAAATGGGTTTGGTTCCATAGGTGAAAATGATTTGTTGAGACAATATGAGTTATCAAGTGTTGAAACAATGAGATGGGATGAAACCTAGATTAAGTTGTAAAAGTTTTCGATTTTTATTTTTCAGAAAAAAAGAAAAAAAACTGGATTTTCTCATGCAAAACAGATAACCATCATATTTTCCATGCAAATATATATCAACTGAACATTCATATTTTCCAGATCAGATTCAATACTTTTATTTGGTAAACGAGATTAGAACAATGCTTGAGCATTCAAGTAAACCATTCTCTTATTCTTCTGGTAAAAGCAGATTAGTTGTGAGAGTACAGAAGCCTTGTGCATTGAGTGTGCAGTTTTCACATCTGGAAAAGAAAATGAAAGTTGATGATCATCAGATCATATTTACAACCCATATATTAATATTATCATTCGACTGAAGAATGTTTACTGGAAATTTGAGGGTTATTGATGACATTCATTGTCATATCAACTGCATTGCCAAGAGAATACATTATGTTCTTGTATTCTGAACTGAGGTTGCTCAAAAGGTGTCCATTGTTGAAAACAAAGCACTTGCCTGGTTGATCAACTTAGCGGTAAACCATCCAGTGGTCTCTTTGGTACAAATGACCGAATTTTGTTTTAAAGAAATTTCGTGAATGTGTGTGAGTGAGAAAACACGATGTTTTAAATGCAATTTGATTCGTCATTAATTACAGGGAATGGATATAGGTTAGTTTGAGTCGGGTTTTTAGCCCATCATGTTGAGTCGGGTTTTTAGCCCATCATGTTTGACCTGAAAATTAAACTTCTCCATCTGCACTCGACCTAACTTGAATTTAAGACGATCCTAAATGATTCAAAACCCGATCTAACTATTATTGCAGCTTCTATCCTAAATGATCTTAAATAATACATAATATTATGTTTTAGTTCTGTTTTGATCATCTAAAAAAATTAATAGTGATGCTAATGTGTTACCATAAGGTAATGTTGTGCTAATATTAAAAAATAAAAAAAAAGTACAATGTTATCATCACCATCAATTTTCGAACGATAAGTAACCATAATGTAATATTAAGTATGATTTTGAAAAGTATAAATGTTAGTTGACCAAAACAGAAACTAAGTGATAGGCAAGTGACCAAACAGGCATTTTTCCCTTATTTCAACTTGAATGTTCTATATTGCCTGTTCGCATTCCTCCACTAAGATCTTTCCACGTCAACGTCATTACCTGTCCTAATAGCATGAGGTTTTCACTTTTCCCCAATTAAATAAAATAAAAATAAAGTAGGTTAAATCTAAGGCTATTAAAGCTGAAATATCACTTGAGGTTTAGTATTTTGATGCAAAGGAAGAGGCAAAAGAGAAAAATTGGTTGATAATTGATATCATCAAAATCTACGAAGTATCTGGTACGAGCTTTTTGTTCCTTTAATTTGCTTAATTAGTTTAATGGAACTAAATTCTTAATCTTAAATTTTGCTCTCTATTTTTTACTTTGAGTTCAAAATATTTGTCTGATTTCTCCAATTTAGGGTTTGAGTTTCATTCTGATTTGTTTTTCGCTTCAGGATTTTCTTTATCGAGTTTCATTTTCATGCGAAGCTCGCATTTTGAGGTCATTGATATTCTTCTGCATGTAAGGTACGCCTGCTATAGGGTTTCTTTGTTGGATTAAATTTTATCTGCTATCGATTTCTTTAGTTTGGTACATGAGTAAAAAATGGTAGAGAAGGAAAAAATATCTTCAAATGAATTCTCGTGTACTAAGCTGATAACCAGATCTATTAAGATGATATTTTGATTTTTCGGCTCTGTAATAGTGATTTTTCAGGTCAATATGATTAAGGATTAATACAGATTTGGTCCTCTTTGTTCTTTGCAATCCTTTAAATAGTTGAAGCGTTTGGTATAATCAGTGTGATTTGCACAACGGATATAGTAACTTCTGCGGAAATTGATTGATTGGAGATGCCTCGGGACTTGTCAAGATCACGATCTCCCTCGCTTTCTTACCGGCGTAGACATTCGCCCTCTCTTGTAGGGCATAGATATGGGAGGATCAGTCGAAGGGATAGAAGCCGGTCACCATATTCATCTTATTCTTATACCAGGTGATCACGTTTATATTAATGTTATTTATGTTAATTTTGTTAACATAAAGAAACTGTAAGGATTATTATAAAAAAGATTGGGACGCTGAAATTTGTCATTCGAATTGGAAATACAAATGCTTCAAGTTTATTTGCATGCAGCCTTTACATTTTTATGTATATGTTGGTCCTCCTTCAACCGGACTGTAAAGATTATCTAGTTTGCTTCTTGTTTACAATTATGATTCCATTTTGGAATCGCATCCCAGCCAAGAATCCATAAAGGAGTGCAATTAAGTTAGTTGAATGTACCGAATTGAAGTGCTGCTGTGGCAGAGGATTGTGTTGGCAATTTGTAGGGAGGTGTTTTTTGGCTTCACTTGCAATGCAGTTGAACCTTTTGGTTGCCTTCATTTTGGCATCTGTGTGATATTTTATGTTCAGATGGCGTCACAGCCTGACATCCTTGAGCCACTTCAGGATTATAGATTTATGTCTAATTTTCATCATTCATTCTTAGTGTGAAGTATTGCTGAATATTTCCAACCAAGTTGATGGTGTATTTCTCAACATATTCTTTGAAATTATCAACATCTCAGTGGGGACTTACTAGTATGGGACTTTACTTTCGCTTGTTAATATGGAAATATGCTAAATAGAAGTACATTTGGAGGAAAACATAGAGTTCAATGAGAGTTATAGGAAGCATGCCCTTGTTTAGAAAATCAAGGATAGTTTGCTCCCATTACTTGAGATGCGAAGTGAGAAGATGATGGGTGCCGATGGGTTTCTTTCGTTGCTTGAGTCTGACATTATCTACATCGTGTCATAAAAGATGGAGCTCAATGTTTATCATAACAATGTAAGAGGTAACCGTATATGCTTTTGTATTTTTTCTGCAAGGTGGTGAGCTGTTCTTGTTCTTAGTTTATGTAGCTAGTAATGCCCAAAGTCTATAGCTGTGGCTCAGTAAGCTGTATTGTTGTACAGAAGGAAGAATCATTTTGTTAGTCCACGCCGCCGCAAAAGTCGTTCTCCAATTGCAAGACGTCATAAAAGCCGTTCTCCAACTCCAAAGCATTATAAGAGGCAAAGAAGTAGGAGTTCTTCATTGTCTCCCATTCATAAACCATCTAGCCCAAGTCTTGGGTCAATTGAGGGCAAAACTACTAGTGAGAAATTGAAAAAAGAAGAGGAAGAGAGGAAAAGGTATACAAAATATTCTCATCCTTATGCAGGCTATTATGGTTTTCTTTTCATGGTTCTTTCAGCCTCCTTGATTTGTGCACTATCGCATTGAAGTTTGGATTCTCTACACTTCTGATTTATGGGAGGCTTCTATATTATTGGATAGTTTGTCTTTGCAATATGATAATTCGTTTGCTGGGATGATATAGGATGTCATGAAAGCCTGGATCCTGTTTGAGTTGTGTCAGGTTTTGTCACTTGTGAAATTCAACTTTGCTGCTTCAGTTTGTCTTGCTGGGAAAACAATATTCACTTGCATGTACACAATCCCCTTTTCCTTCCTCAGTTATATTGCATGTTACCTTACTGAGTTGATGGCCTGTTTTGTATGGCTCATTCAATCTTTGCATCTACTGGTAGGAAAAAGAAGACCAGAGAGAGAGAGAGAGATTATTTATGTTCTTACATTGTAGAACACAAAAGGAGAAACGTCTGCCCTGTTCGAGCTTCTTAACTCTTGTTGGTCGTGACATTTACAGGGATAGTCATTCTGACTAAATGTTTTTAAGTTGAACCGTCATTATTTAACATCCATAAAAATGTGATGATATCTATGAAACGTAAACTCTTGTGAAATGTATTTTGGTGGACGGTTTGAACTTTGAAGTACTGTGGAGATTAGTTATAAAATTACAGCAAGTTCCTTGACATTCTTCTCCACAGGATTTTCTAAAGGGAGATACTGCTATAATAATTCAACTTGTTATATTTGATGATCTGATTGGAATTTGATGCACGTGTATCTATATTCACCAGTTTTGAAATTCTTGTTTGGATCAGGTTCAGTTAGAGGTATGCCTTAAAAGTATAGCATATTTTAGTGCCTTTGTCGTCATGAAGGTTAGTTTGCCCGTTTATCATAGTTCATAGTGAATCAGGTAAGTAAGTTGGTGACGAAGAAAAGGGGAAAAAAAGCAACACGACTTTGTAAGCTGTTTTCATGTACTGTTTGCTGGTTAGGAAAGACGTCTGAAATGGACGGTTGCGGCATATTCCCCCAAATTCACCAATGTCAATTTCTTGTTTGACATTTTATTTTATTTTCCCAGGCGTCAACAGGAAGCAGAATTGAAACTAATAGAAGAAGAAACTGCTAAGAGAGTGGAAGAAGCAATTCAGGAAACAGTTGAAGAGAGATTGAACTCGGATGAAATCAAGCAGGAAATTCAGAAATGGCTTGAGGAAGGACGCAGGAGACTTAACGATGAAGTTGCTGCTCAACTTGAAAAAGAAAAGGAAGCTGCTGTTCCTGAGGCCAGGCGACAAAAAGAGGTATCGATGCTTCAATATTTGTATTTGTTGAAATCATTCTAATGAAATTTATGATGCATATCCATATTTAATATCTGATACATTATATAATGCTATAACTGTGTCAGATTGAATGAAGCTTTTGTCCAAGGAATGGCATGGTTATGAGTGAGTGTGTGTGTAAGAGAGAAGACGAACACACGTGATCTTATACGAATTTCACTTAAGGATAGTGTGATCTTGTATGAACTTCACTTAAGGATAGTGTGATATTGTATGAACTTCACTCAAGGATAGTGTGTTTGTTGGATGGCATTTGCATGCTTGCTAGCATTTTATAATTCGGCCTTGATTGAAAATTGTGATATACAGGAGCAAGCTAGACAAGAGAAAGAAGAGTTAGAGAAGATGCTTGAAGAGAACCGAAAGCGGGTAGAAGAAGCTCAAAGAAGAGAAGCACTGGAGCAGCAACCGGGAGAGGAGGAGCGATATCGGGAACTAGAGGAGCTTCAAAGACAAAAGGAAGAGGCCATGAAGAGGAAAAAACAACTGGAGGAGGAAGAACGATTAAATCAAATGAAATTATTGGGAAAGAACAAATTGCGACCCAAGTTGTCATTTGCCCTTGGCTCAAAGTGATTAATTTGGAGAAGTTGGTCTTAGTTGTAATATTTTTCGGAATTTGTTAGTGTGGTGCCTTTTAAAAGTAGAGAAATCATTTCCATTTACTATAATTTGTATATTCTTTGTCGTGTATGCATATTTTGTTTTGTTATATACAAATCCAATATTTAATATTTGACTAAATACTTTGTTTACTATAATTTGATCATTCACGAGAACCGAGTGACGCCTGATTGGCAGGTGATTGCTTCAAGCCGGGGCCTTCTTGCTTCGTTTGATACTGCCATGGGATTTTCTGGTGCTAACCGCTTGGCTGCAGATGCTCCTAGGGATAGGTGGTGCAAGCCCCCTCCTGCAGATGCAGCCTGTTCGCGTTCATCGGGCAGGTCTAGAGAAACTCAAAGAGAAACCCACCTTGCTAGAGTCATTGTTGATGCAACATGGTTTAGGAGACAGGTTCGAACATGTACTATCTTATAATCGCTCACACTATTAAAAAAAAATAATATCGCCCAGACTATTAAAAAAATAATAACCCTACGATGGTTTTATTCTAAAAGCTTCATAGAATTAAGGAAGTTTTGAGAAGGCTAAATGTGGAGCAATTGCAGATAGGGGTGTATAAAAAATTCGAATATCCGATTTTACGAAAAAAATATCCGAAACCGGATTTGGGAAAAACCGTTTTTTTTTTAACCGGATCGGATTTTTTTAAAACCGGTTATTTTAACCGGTTTGGAGAAAAAAACCTAGACCTGTTTTTTTACCGGATAAAAAACCGGTTTGAAAAAAACCGGTTAAAAAACCGGTTTTTATCCGGAAAAAAACCGGCCTGGGTTTAAAAAACTAGCCGTTAATATAGCCGTTGGGAGGGTTTTGTGATCGTTTTTGACCGTTTTTTTCTTTAAAAAATTACCATTTTACCACCCTAAACATGTATAAATAGGTTGGGGATGTATTTGGTTGATTACAAATTTCTCAAATCTTATTACACAACACTTAAACATCTCTCAAATCTTACTTTTGTAATTTTTTGTTCATCATGAGTAACACGGCTGAATCTTCCGTCGGGGGAAACCTTGAAGTCGTGAGAGTGATCGAACACACTCGAAACAAAGACATTTGGGATCACTACGATTTATGTGAGATGTCAAATGGCTCGAGGAGGGCGCGTTGTAAACTTTGTCTAAAGTTTCTTGCATCGGAAGGAAACACAACGTTGAAGAACCATTTGACAAAATCATGCAAGGCACTTCGCTCAAGATCAGATCCTAGTCAATCGAATCTTACACCGCAAGGTGGTGTTTTTGTTTACGACAACGAAAAATTACGAGAAGCGTTTACAAAGTTCGTGATTACAAAAGCATTGCCGTTCGACCACTTTGATGATGAAGATTTCACGATAACAATTCAACAACTAATGCAACCACGTTATACTCAAGTAAGTCGTACTACCCTTAGAAGAGATGCTATAAAAATGTGGCGTACGGCGAGGGAAAAAATGATTTTAGGATTCCAAGAACACCGTTATGGTGTGTCGCTTACATGTGACGTTTGGAGTTCCCCTCATAATATCGGAAATTCTTTTTTAGCCGTTACGTCACATTGGTTAGATCAAGATAATTGGCAAATGATGAAAATAACAATCGCGTTTGAATTATTCGGTGAGCCGCATACCGGTGCTAATTTATTTACACTTTTAAAAAGGGTAATTTGTCTTTATAAATTAGAAAATAAAGTTTTTTCTATATCCTTTGATAATGCATCGAATAATACAAACGCGGTTCCAAGATTGAAAATATTACTTTCACCGATTTTAGACGGTGCGTTTTTTCATACCCGTTGCGTTGCACACATAATTAATTTATCCGTGCAAGCCGGTTTGGAGGTTATTGAGCCGATTAGATTAGAATTTAAAACAATGATAAAATCGGTTCTTTGTAACAACAACAAAATACTAAATGATTATAAACGATTTTGTAAGTCCGTTAATAAAAAAGCTTTGGGTCCTAATTTGGATTGTCCAACTCGTTGGAACTCAACTTGGATGATGATGCATACTGCCTTAAGGCAAAGGGAAACATTGCAAACATTTCACGATCGGCTTTTCGAGAGGGGTCATGTCCCAAACATTTATCCGGATTCGAGTTGGGAAACTATAGCCAAAATAACCGATTTGCTTGAGGTTTTTTAAAAATGCAACAACTTTTTTATCCGGTGTTTATTACCCTACTAGCCCGTTGTTTCTTAATCAAATATTTTTGTTGGCTACCCGACTAAATGACTTTGAATTTGAAACCGAAGTTTTTCAAGAAACTGGCTTTGCAATGAAGGAAAAACTTTTAAAATATTTTAAGGAGATTCCCCCCATTTTTTACTTGTGCCGCCGCTTTAAACCCAACGTTAAATGTTGGTGGGTTGAAACACTAATTGAACAAATTGCGTTTGCTTTTAATCTAACCGATGATGAACCCAACTTTGTCCAAAACCAAATAAATTATTTTAACAAATGTTTTCGAGACATGTTTGCAATTTATTTAATTAAATACGGATCAAGTAGTGTAATACACGATCAAATGAGAATGAATGCGGAATCATCTAGTAGACGTCCAAGTAACATAAATTTGAATCTTTTTAACACTCTTGTAAATTCCCAATCCAAACGATCACGTACTACCACCCCAAGTAGCGAGTTGGGAAATTACATGTCATGCGATTTTCTATCAAAAATGACATTTGAAGAGTTTGAAAGTTTGGATATTTTGGCTTGGTGGAAAGAAAAGGAAGCACAATTTCCGATTCTAGCCGCCATGGCCCGTGATTTACTAACCGTCCAAGCTTCTACGGTAGCTTCGGAATCCGCTTTTTCTGTTAGTGGCAGGGTTATATCGCAACGGAGATCAAGACTAAGTCCCGAGTCGGTGGAAGTATGCATTTGTTTAAAGGATTATTTGGATGGAGCGGCTCGTAAGCAACATATCACCACCCTAGAAGATGCAATTGATACCGATTTGGAAGCAAACTTACACATTGAAGAAGTCGAACTTGGAATATCCCCTCCAAACGAAGAAGGCGAAGATGATGAAGAAGAGATGGCAATGTAGTTTATTTTATAACTTTATTTCAATTATCGTAAACTTTGTTTCAATTATCGAACTTGAAGTTTTTAAGTATTTGAATTTATCGAACTTGGAAGTTTTTAAGTATTTGAATTTATCAAACTTGGAAGTATTTAAGTATTTCAATTATGTTGAGTTAATTAAGTATTTCAATTAAGTATTTGAATTTATCGAACTTGAGGTTTGATGCTTTCTCTTTGATTCTCTCTTGATTCTAGTTGCTTGATGTTTCTTGTCTTTGATCAATGGCTTCTAAGCTTGCTTAAATACACCTTGAATCACTTCTGAACGTTAGTGATAATTAATGAAGATAATATAGCCGTTTAAGTGTGAAAACATTTAATAAAAATGCTTGGAGCGTGGGGGAATCGGTACCCTCTCATAGGGAATCGGTTTCCTCTCATAGGGAATCGGTTCCCTAAGTGTAAAATTCAAATATTTCGACCGTTGAATAGGGGGAATCGGTACCCCCTATGGGGGAATCGGTTCCCTCCGAGCATTCTGGAAATCTCGGAGCCAAACCATTCAGTGAGGAATCGGTACCCCCCTTGGGAGGGAATCGATTCCCTATGAGCAATCTGGAATATTAAAATCGGTTTTTTTTATAACCGGTTTTTTAAAAAAACCGGTTTTTTTAAAACCGAAACCGGTTATACCGGTTAGGATATCCGGCCCTCCAAACCGGTTAAAAACCGAACCGATTATTTTATAAACCGGTTTTTTTTTCTATGAGAAAAAACCGGATCGGATAAAAACCGATCCGGATCGGATTGAAATCCGACAAATGTTCATCTCTAATTGCAGATGAGGCTATTTTTTCCTACAGATCCCTGATTCTGTAGTTACAAGAGCTTCCTCTAAACTTCTCAAGGGGCTATTAAATTGCCTACTTTCTTGATTTGAAGTTAAGGATCAATTTTAACTCGAGTTTTTAATAGTAGATTTGTATTAGTATTAAGACTTAATGTAAAAATAAATGCTCAAAGTATATTTAAAGTTAACTTTAGGTGTTTAAAATATTTTTCGTTAAAAATAGGTGTCTAACTTTTTTTCGTTATACTTTTAAGTGCCTAAAGTTTCTGAAGTTATACTTTTAGGTGTTTGTACTGTAATGGTCGTTAAATTAACCGTTAAGCGACACTTGTCACGCTCATTTTTTTTTACTTAAAATTATTATTAATTTTTAAAAAATCCAAATGTTTCAAAAATACAAAATGATCCCAAAGATTCCTAAACCCCAAATCATCAACTCCTTTGTCGGCAACCATCGTCGTTGTTGTTGTCGCTGACGCCTTGTTTGTCGTTGTCGCCAAAGCTTCCTTATCCAATTCGAAAAGCAAGTCGTCAGGGATCTACTCCCACGTAAAAGGAACTACAACAGTCGCGATTCTATTATCCCTGATGGTGGGATTGCTTTGATGGCATGGCACTTATTGGGGACTGGTGAGGTGACTTCGCACTGATGATGGTAACTCACGATAGCCGGTAATGGGTCGACCGACGGTGGATGGGTTTCACCGGATAATGGCTTGGGATTGAGGGGTATTTAGGGATTTTATGATTTTTGGGGTGTTTTGTGAAAAATAGAAAAATATATAGACCTTTTTTGAAAATTTATACATTTTATTTTTAAAAATTAGGTCATATGTCTAACAATGATTGGTTGGCCGGTATTTAATGGATTTTTTTTTAACGAGCATTACAACCCGGACACCTAAAAATATAAGTCGGGTTTAGACTCCTAAAAATATAATGGAAAAGACATTAGACACCTATTTTTAACAAAAATATACTTTAGGCACCTATTAACTTTGAGTATACTTTCAACATTTATTTTTACATTAAAACTAGTTTTGATTTAATGCATGAACAGGTAATTTAGGAAATATATGTTAATCCTAAAATAGTTAATAGAATTAGATTTAGTCCCTAAAAATACATTATTTAATGAGATTTCTACGTACAAACCAAG